TCTTTCCCTTCCCACTGCAGGGTGTGTGGTGGTTTTTAAGCACACTGGGGCACTCTCTTAGCCAGGTTGGCTGTTTATTGCTGGTGTGCAGTGCAGACTGCTTCATCTGTGGCAGAGTTTTTAAACAGAACAGCAAGGTTTCTGTAGATATTTTGGCAGTTTATATTTTTGTTTATTTGTTTTAATTCAACATTACACAAATACCTAAGTTAGCAGCAGTGTTACAGTGACAGATGCTGGCATCTTACCTTTTATTAGAAGTGTATGATTTATATTTTTCCAGTGAACTAATTGATACTTCCTTTTTTTAAATTTAGTTTCTTTATTTTGTCTGTCTAAGCAGTGACTTTACTGCTTCTCTCTTGTTACACTCAACGTGCCTTTGCTTAAGTAAAGCTTGTAATTAGGTTATGTTGTTTTGAAGTCAGCAGTTTAGTTGCTGGTACACTGTCAACCAAGGACAAAAGCCTTCAGCTACCCAAGCCATTTAGAATGTTCACAGAAAATGTTCTAAATTTCCCTTGTTTTTAAAGGGAAACGGTGATACTTCATGTGGAAGTGTTTTTAACATAATGCACAAAAAATGCCTGTATGTTTCATATTGAATTGTGTGTGTGTTGGGTTTCTTGTTTGGTTGGGTTTTGTTGTTTGGGTTGTGTTGGGTTTTTTCTTGGGCTGGAGATGGTAAAGATGAGATACACTGGAACTGCCTGGTGCTGTGGCAGAGATCTGGCTGATACAAGTGGATTGAATCTGGTTCAAGGCAGTGGTAGAAGCCACTGTGATGTGGTTTTGCAAATCTTGCTCTAGGGTTTGAAAGGGAGGGTATTAGTATCATCTGGTTCTGTGTATGCCTTCTGCTGATTCTGTATTGCAGTATGTTGAAGTTTGAAGTATGAGGAACTCTGAAGGGCACTCAATTTGCTGTGTACTCTGTGTGCTATCATGCATGTATTCCTTAAAATACATTTGGGTTCTGACAGCCTTTGCATGAAGGAACAAAAACACATTTGTGTCTGCTCCTTTTATATATGAATATATATAAAATACTACCTAAGAGTTCACATAAATGAGCGGAGCCACAAGCCCTGTGGACTTTACACCTGAATGCCACCCCATTCCAAGAAGTAAGATTCCTTAACTCCTTTTCTGCTCCTTTTGCCTCTGGGGAGGCACGTGTTGCTGCATCCTGGTGCAGTTCAGTAGGATGGGTGGAGAAAACCCTCTCCAAGGAGTGTCTGACACCACTGCAGTGCGGTCCCTTGGTGAGGCCACATCTGGAATATTGTGTCCAGTTCTGGGCCACTCAGTTCCAGAAGGACAGGGAACTGCTTGAAAGACTCCAGGGCAGAGCCACAGAGATGCTGGAGGGAGGGGAACATCTCCCTGCTGAGGAAAGGCTGAGGGAGCTGGGTCTGTTGGGCTTGGGGAAGAGGAGACTGAGGGGCCACCTCATCCATGGGCACAAATCTGTAAAGGGTGAGTGTCAGGAGGACAGAGCCAGGCTTTGTTCAGTGATGCCCAGTGACAGGACAAGGGGCAATGGGTGCAAACTGGAGCACAGGAGGTTCCATGTGAGTCTCAGGAAGAACTTCTTTGCTGTGAGAGTGCTAGAGCCCTGGGCCAGGCTGCCCAGAGAGGCTGTGGAGTCTCCTTCTCTGGAGACATTCCAACCCCCCTGGCCACGTTCCTGTGTGATGTGCTCTGGGTGCCCCTGCTCTGGCAGGGGGGTTGGGCTGGGGGAGCTTTCCAGGTCCCTTCCAACCCCTGAGATTCTGGGATTCTGTGTGTGATAGCCATCCTGGATGTTACCTGGATATGTGTGAAATACATTCATTTCAGACTCAAATTCCTTAAAACTTGCCAGTGGGATATTGTTTTATACAAGTGTTGTTATTTCTTCAGGGGAAATACAACTATTTTTTGTCAATGTAATTTTGATACAAGTGGGGTTGTGATTGTAGAGCTTCCTTTATTCACTTCTGACTTCAGCAGAGACAGGACTAAGTTTGGATTTCTCACTGGCAAATTAATTGGTTAGTTGTATCCTAATGATTATTCCCTTAATTCTTTCTCTTCTTGTTACAGCTTTTAGTAGAAATTCTCATGAGACCAACACTTATTACACAGAAAAAGAAACAGAAAAGTAAGTAGAGAACTGTTGTATCTTTTGTCATTCTTGCCTTGTATCCCTATTCAGACAGAAGTTTATCTTCCTGTTACTCTCTTTCCATAGCATCAATTTCCTGTTCCTAAAGGAATAATGGTTTTCATTGTTCTCTGGAGCACTGATTCATGGTGGGATTTAGGATGGTCACCTGTTGCAGAATAGAGCTCAGGACCATTCATGCACACAGCAGCACATACTGCTCTCAATACTGGAAACTTATTGTCACTGTGGCTATAGTTACAGTTAACAATTATTAATAATAAGTCTCAAAACATTGTTTATGTAATAGGAGCTACAGAGATTGGGAGATAATGAAAAGTGCTGTTTTCCTGACCTACTCTGACTACTAGTTCCCAAATTGCTGTAAGGAGAACTTGGCAGTGGGGCACAATGGCTTCCATGCAACTTCCCTGTTGGAGCAGCTTTAGTTCAGTGTTTTCATTTCTCCTGTCTGTGGTTCTGTTCTTCCTTGAACCCTTCTGAGGAAAGGAAATGCCATGGTATGATCCATGCCTATCAGCCAGGGAACTTCAAAGGTGGAGTAACTTGAACTTGAGCTAGAGGCAGCTGTTGTATGTTTGTACTGAAAACATATTTTAAATATTAAAATGCTGGAGTAGATCAGGTAGAAAGCTTTTCTTTGAATTCCTGATGCTTCCTGGAGATGTCTGCAGGAACTTTCCTTTTCCTTCCCCCTGTGCTTAGTAATGGGAGGTAATATGTATCTCTGCAGCTTCCCATATTGACAAGTTTTGAGTTGTTCTGTGATTTCTTTTTCTAAAATACAGTTTACGCCCCTGTCATTTTCTTTTGTGAGTGACTAAGTAGTGCACTAGGCCACATCTACATCTCTGTCTGTGGATCTAGGCAGTGCTGATAACAGTTTGGAAGAAAGCCCATGAACAGGTGAGTTACAGAGTGTTTCTTCCAGGTTTCTATCCTCCAAGACACTGGCAGATATGATCTGAACCAGCAGCCTGAAATTCTCACCCATTTTGTAGCTATTCATGTCACTACTGTGGGCATTAGTGTCCCTTGGCCACGTGTAGCTGCTGAATGTCTGTTTTCTTCTTTACAGTAAGTGATGACCTCATCAAGGACTGTCTGAGCATACTGTACAACACCTGTATTTGTGTAAGTACAGCCACTGTGCAAAAGTGTTCTTCTGCTGGTTGTGTTTTACCTTTCTCACTTGATAAAGACAACATACGGATTTTAAGCATAATTTAAACTGACTCTGAAACTTTTCATTTCATTCCTTTCCATTAAATATAGAACTGTCCAGTATTTTGATTTGTTACTCAAGTATTTTCTGTTTTCTTATCCACATTGTTAAGTTTAAATCTTCTTGTTTGGATCATCCTGTATGTGTGTTTTCACAGGGAAGCTGTGTCAGGCTTTATTGCATTCAAACTTTAAAATTTGAAACTAGAAATGGGTGCCTGCTAACCCAAGCTAATCTTGTTCAGTAATGGTGCTGGCAAAGTGTTTTAAGTTTGACCCTGCAGGTCCTTCATGTGTTGAATATTAGTGCAGTTCAGTTGGTGGTAGATCAAGGGCAGGTGCTGGGTTAAAGGCCAATGGAAATACCTTGTCATTAAAATCCTGAAGCTAAAAGCACATGGCTCAGGTGATGCATGCAGGGACATCCTCAGGATTATTTACTTTATCACATATTTTATTATGTCATTACCTAGGGAGCATTGTTCAGCAAAAAAAATTAAAATAGGGTAGTTACTGGCTTTGAGCTTTTCCAAAGACATCAACCTAACCTGGAGAGTTTGGGTCTTTAAGAGGTCATGTTTTCACTACCAAGTATCTGTGTACACGTGAGAGGGAACACCTTGTTTCTTGAGTTGCATGATCTTTCTTTTGTTTAGCTACAGTTAATGCAACTTTTTAAAACTGTGTCTGTTGTAATATGCTAAGAAACAAGTTTGCAATTTATAGACTTGCTGCTGTTCTAATTCACTTCAATATTCCTCTTCTCCCTTGAATGAGCAGCCTTCAGGATCACAGAAATGCACGTGCAGTATGAACTGTTCTTAGGTGTAAATATTCAGGAAGGATCTGAGCTAGGCTGGTTCTGTGAGCACTGGCAGTAAGTCAGTAATATATCATAAACAGCTTTGCAAGTGGTAAGAGTGTAGTTTTGAGTTGTTTAATGCCAGAGAAGACTGGAAGCAGAGCTCAGAGCACAAAGCTGGTCTTCATGCATTGGTGGTGGACCCGAGCTCATGCTTTAGCATGACTTTGATTCCATCACCACGTTCATCAAGGCTAGTGTTTGATTCTGATTGCTCAAATTCTGTCCAGCTCTAACAGTTTAGGAGGAATCTGGGGCTGCATTTACATTCCATGAAATGGATCTGGTTACAATGTGTATGGGGTGTTTCCAGGCAGGCAGTGTTTACAAGCAAGCTACTGCCTTGAGGTGTAGCCTCTCATCCTGGAGCCTGTCATTGTTGAAAGCATCATGTTCACTTCAAACGAGGACTAGTTTTGGTCACCATAGACACAGTGTTTCCTGGCTTGAGGAACAGCTGATTCAGTAACACATCACTTGTCAGACTGTCCTGCACGTGCCTGTAACACACACCTTGTCAAGGTGGGCTCTGACTGGGGTCTGGGTGTGCTTCTCGCTGCTTTCTAGACCGAAGGAGTCACGAGGCGATTGGCAGAAAGAAATGACTTTGTGTTGTTCCTGTTTACACTGATGACAAACAAAAAGACATTCCTACAAACTGCAACGCTCATTGAAGATATCCTGGGAGTTAAAAAGGTTAGTTCCTGGTTTCTTCATTTTATTTGCATGGCTTTTCAGAGCAGTAGAGGGAAAACAACTATTTCTTTGAGGAGCTGCTGAAGGAAGTCCTCTAAGCCAGTGTTCTCACTTCTAGCTTATTTGAAATGTGATTGTTGACAGTGATCACTGACTTCAGTTACATTTCATACAGAAGCCAAGCTATGTGTGTGGTGTCCTACTTGTACTGCTCTTGCATAGTTTGCAGAGGATGATGGGAGGTGAGGGCCTAGCTGTCATTAAAGTACAACCAGTGTTTCAAAGAAAGAAAACGAACCCATATAAATTCCTTTTTCATGCTTGCCTTTTGATAACACTGCAGATATTTTAGGAGTCTCCCTGGCATGTGGAAAGCTTCCCATACTTCTCTCTTACCAGGGGGTTTGACACCTCTCTGAGAAATTCTAGGCTGGAGGAACAGGACACTTAGGACTTGTGCACAAAGTAGGTTTTGAACCAGCTTAGTGTCCTGATGTGAAGCAAATAAAGTATTAGAGGTGTCACTCTGAGAAACCCCTGAATAAAATGTGCTGATAGACATTTAGTGGAGAGGGTCAGGAGTCTGTGACATGTAACTGGTTTTTTTAGAGTAAAGCTGAGGTAGGAAACAAGCTTTGTTTATTTCAATGTAAAAGCTTTGTGCTGAAAACTGTTTTCAACATCTCTTTATTAAAAAGATCATTTGATGAAAAAGACTGAGAAAAATGATCTTGATGTCATTTTTCATTTGTGAGCTTCAAAGAAAATACCAGCTGAAAAAAAACAACATTGAAACTTTCTAAAACCTACATGTAATTTGTGTGTAGAAAGGTTGTGGGGTGTTCTTAATTAAAAAAAAAACCAGCCTCCATATTTAAATGCTTAGCCTTCACAATATGGGTACTATACTTTTGGAATTGATAACCATAAGTGACACCAGTTGTAAATCCCAGCTGGTTTCAGACTCACTTGTCACTGCCCTCCTGCCTCTCAGGGATCTCACCAGGGAGGAGCTGTAGCTGAAGCTTCTGGCTGTGTCTCTGTTCTCTTACTGAGCGTCATGATTTAGTTGATGTTGCCTCCTCCAGGAAATGATCCAGCTGGATGATATTCCCAATCTTGCGAGCCTTGTGTCCAGTTTTGATCAGCAGCAACTTGCCAACTTCTGCAGGATCCTTGCTGTCACCATCTCTGAGCTCGACACAGGAAGCGATGACAAACACACGCTTCTTGCCAAAAATGCCCAGCAGAAAAAAAACTTGGGTCCTTCTCGAGCTGAAATTAATCAAGGTAATGTTACAGTGTGGACAAGGCAGAAGAATCTCAACAGTATGGAAAGTTTCCCTCTTCTCCATGCCACATTGGTACCTTATGTTTCTGGAGGTACTATAAACATTCTAGCTTAGAAACATTTTTCTTTATCCACTTGCCTCAAGCAGTTTCCTGGAAAGAGTATTTGCTATTAATGTAACTTTCTTAGTAGCTTTCAGTTTCATATGGTGTTGGTAATCAGGTGAGTTCATTTCTGTCACTCCAGCCCTCTCTGATGAACTGACTGGCTTAACATTTGGGGTTTTCTTTCTATCCCTCAGTCATTTCCATGGCCGTCTCTTTAGCAACTCTCAGTAATTCCATGTCCACTCAAAATACGAGTTCTGGAACTGAAACTGCAGTGTGCATGGTTGCTGTCAGAGCAGTTCCTTCTCTGGTTTTATCTGACCTTGTCCTGAGCAGGATGTCTGTCTTTACCAACAAGCAAAGTGTGTTTCATGTTAATCATGTTGCCCACCTTTACCACACCAGCCTTGGGAATCTGTGAGTCTAATTTCAGCTTTACCTTGGGCACAGTGCAGGTTTCCTAACTTCAGTGAGTTACTTCTCAGATCTAGAAGCCTTGCCTAGAAGGACTGAGTGTGGATCTAAAAGATTTAAATTGAAGTACCCTCAAGTGTAGGATCTACTGTTTTCAGCTGAAAATTTCTTGGGCTTCTGAAGCAGATGTTTGCACAGGCCCATGCCAAACAGTTTGGGGAAGTCCAAAAAGGGGTTTTTTTTTGCTGCTTTTCTCTCATCTTCTAACATTTTGTGTTACCCATGAACAGCAAAGCTCCATTTATAACCACTGCCACCTCTGCAGCACCCAGTGAAAAGCAGATACCATAATCCAGCAGGCAGAAGCTGAGAAACTTTGAGGGGGAGTTTGTCTTCTGCTCTGTGGTGGGCAGAGCTTGCTCGTAAAGTGAACTGGCCCCGTGTGTGTAGGTGTGGGTACAAAGTTTAGATTAGTTCAACTGAATCAGCTTGGATCCCACAGAGCTGGGCTGTTTAACTATTAATTTTTTGTTTGCACACTTGCAGACTGTATCCAAGCCTAAAGCATAAGCCATTTTAAAAAAATTTGTCATGAGCGTATTCTTTCATAGATGGTACCAGTGGGAAGGATCCTGCAGCTCTTTCCTGTAGTGTTCATGGCCAAAATCTTGGTCATTTTCCATTTCCATCTGCAAGTATGTAGTCAAGCAAAGACTCAGCCATTTATCTGTAATAAACAGGTTCTGTAATTAAGTTATTCTGTGAAAACTTGAGGACAAAATGCAGTTTTTAGCACCTCCCCAAGCATTCTGGAGACTTGAGCTGCTGGTTTGAAGGATGCAGTTGCACAACAATTAAAACCCACTGACTTGGGGCTGCTGTCATGTGTTCCCCATTTGCTCTGCTCCATGATGAACTAATTCATTAAGCCAGTACTTAAAAAGCTTTCTACCCAGCTACTGAAGTGAGCTAGTGCAGTTTGCTATGGGACAAACAGCCTAGGAGGTAAACAAAAGCTGTGACATTGCACAGAGGAAGGGAGAAGTGGAGCTGCCCTTTCCAAGGGCTGCTGCTTTATTTCTACCTGCTTGATTTTCAGCCAGATCAGTTCCTTGATACTGACTCAGTGTGAACTGGAAAACAGCAGTGCCAGGAAAAGGGAATTGGCTGGAAACAAGCAGTCAGAGTAGGGTAGAACTGATTTTTTTCCAGTATAAGTCCAACACAAACCAGTTTAGCACTGGTGGAGTTATACCCAGGGTACATATGTGCTCTCGTAGTCTTTAATAGGAGAGTGCACCAGCTTCTTCCATCTTTGCATATTTTTAAATAGATGGAATTTTTCTGTACACTCTTCTATATTATAGGGAGTTTAGAAACCTTGTGGTGTGGAGGCTTTGATGACTGGTGTGTTGGTGATCTTAAATCATCATCAAATTATATTTCTTTTGCAGCTACCCTTTTAAATATCCCGGGTTTCATTGAGCGATTGTGCAAACTGGCAACTCGGAAAGTGTCTGAAACCACAGGTACTTCCAGCTTCCTCCAGGAGTTGGAAGAATGGTACACCTGGCTGGACAATGCACTAGTACTTGATGCACTGATGAGAGTGGCAAATGAAGAGGCAGAGCAGAGCAGTACAGGTATTGGGCTTGCTTTCCTCTCACCACTGTTAGCTGATACGTACCTTAAACGTCAGTGTTTCCCTTGTGTTGCTTTTCCTTCCAACTGATGTTGATTCCCCTTTTCCTGCATGGAAGACCAACGTGTCAGCATTTAGGTCTGCCTCTCATTTTGTTCTCAAGTAGCACTGATGGTTTTTCTTTCCATGGACTAAAACTGGCAAAATGAAATGTCCCCACAGCACACCCATATAACTCTGTACATCCTCAGCTTTAATCTCCCCTAGGGGGGACAAAGATAACACACATCTCAGGTAAGTGACTTCACCAGCATCTTGCTCTGAAACTTAAGGTGATGGCTTTAGGTCCAGATGCTTCATATAAAGAAGTGGCCCCTCCTTTAAAAAGGAAAGGTAGTTCCAGCAAAATTAAATCAGTTAACTGGAAAAAAAAAATTATTCCTGTTTTTTCTTCACACTTCAGTATTAAAACAATGCAGTGTCTGTCTTGTAGAACTTGAGGCACTTGATAACAGAACAGAATTATCCCAAAATGTTGATATCTACCTCTTCTTTAAAAAACTTTATTCTTTATTCAGTTTCATTAGTTTTGTAGCAATTACTAAAACTTCTGAAAATATACAGCAAATGAAATAGGTGAGTGCTCCAGCAGCTTCTCACACCCTACCTTGAAGGAAGATGAAGAACATCTGGTAATCTGGAACAGAATTCACAAGGCAGTTCTGCTGAGCTGGAACACACCCAGTCCCACCTCTGACCCACAGCACCAGTTAGCAAGCAAACCCAAATTTACTTTCCCAGAACATTGCCTTTGCCTTCAGTGGCTTGTGGCTTAGGGACTTCTGAGTCAGAGGTGCTGTCTGTGCTTTTAGCCTTTGATGGTTTCCTTCCTTTGTGTGTTAGCCTGGTTACTGGTTCTTCACCTGGGCTCAAAGCTTTCACACTACCCTGTGGCAGGGCAGTTCATCACTGTGGGTTACATGTCTTGTGCACAGAGCTAACTCCTTTATGAACTACAGCCTACAGGTTTCACTATATCTGTGCTTACCTTCTAGGTGTTGTCTTGTTTTCCACTTGCAACTGTAGAATGCTTTGGGTTGCAAAGGACCTTAAGGATCATCTCATTCCATGCTCCTTCCATGGGCAGGAACACCTTCCACTAGACCAGGTTGCTCCAAGCCCCATCCAACCTGCCTTTCAATGCTTCTAGGGATGGGGCAGCCACCCTGGGCAACTGGGGCCAGGGTCTCACCACCCTCACATTAATGAATTTCATCCTAATGTCTCACCTAAACCTCCCCTCTTCAGTTTTAATCCGTTCCCCCTTGTTCTCTCACTACAAGTCCTTGTCAAAAGTCCCTCCTCAGCTTTCCTAGAGCCCCTTCACATACATGGTGTGTTATATCCTATTTCTGCCCTTAGTGTTATTTTAGATAAGGCTGTGAAAATTATTTAACTGTGGCCTAAATAACCTGGGACTGAGGTGTGAAATGGAAGGAGACCAATAGTAAATGCTTTTGATAATCTCTCCTCTGCTTTTATTACCTGTTCTGCCATGTCCTTTCTGGTGCAGTATGGTCATTCTTATAGGTGATGCTACTTACTTTTGTTAGATTATGCTATTGTGCTATTGTGAAACAATTTTTTTAAAAATATAACTTGGTCCCCTTGAAAAATTCCAGCAGTTTTTTTTCCTCTGCTGTAGCATTTAAGACTGACATTTGTTGTATGTCACCATTTTTGGTTGAGAAGATTCAGGCAGGTGTGCTGGTCTTAACATCTGCAGTGTTTCAGTGTCAAAGTAAGAACTGTTTCAACCCCTTCCCTGCTGAAGCTGCCTCAGGGCTCACAGCTTTGCCATCTTGTGCAGAGTCTTCGGATGAAAGTGGCTTGGCCAACACCTCCACACGGACACAGCTTCCCCAGTCCATGAAGATCATGCACGAGATTATGTACAAGCTGGAGGTGCTGTATGTCCTCTGCGTGCTGCTCATGGGGAGACAGAGGAATCAGGTGAGCCCTGGCTGGTCCCACACGCAGGAGCTGATGTCTCTTTAAACCTCAGCCCTCACTAATTAGGTCACGGACGCAGGAACATGAAGAGCAGAGCTGGAGGCACAAAGCTGGGCAAATCCCATCCTTGCAGCAGGGCACAGGCAGGCAGGGGATCTTGGCTGCACCAGAGTGAGCCACAGGGCAGGGCTTGCCAGCAGGGCTGCTGACAAGCATGGGGGTGGTCAGGCTCTGCAGGTGCCTTTTGAGTAAGGAAGCATGTGGATGCATGTGTACCTGGGTGCTGTGGGAGATGCAGCCAGGCATTTTCCCCTCTCTTATTGCACAGAGCAAATGCAGGCCTTGCCCTTCTTTGGCTGCTTCCATTTCAGAAATCCTCTGGGGTGGAAATCCTTCCTTATGAGTGGGTGATTTTTGCAGCAGGTTCCTGTGTCTTAGCTGAGTGAGCCTGTTGTTAAACTCTCAGCTGGGAGAATACACTTCGGTGCTGTCTGCACTAGGCACTGCCTAGAAATCCCACTCATCTCTTTGCATTTCTTGCCTTCAAAATGAAGAGTAATTTGTTCCCTGCCTCATGTAGGCTTATGGAGAACCAGTCACTGCAGCTTGGCTGGAGTTTGATTTAAATGGGTCAAAGCACATTGTGAAGGGAAAAGAGAAGCAATCCTTTGGTGCAGTTTTGACAGGTTTCCAACACTGGCAGTCTGCTCAGCTCAGCAGAGCAGCTTGGAATAGCAGGGGCATTTGGATGCCCTAAAGACTGGGACGATCGAATTGTTTTGAGTTGTTGGAAGGACTGTTGTATTAGGCAAGAGTAGCTGTGCTGGGGGCTGTTGCTTGGGCACATTTATCTTGAGCATTTTGTTCTCTGCCTGTAACCTCCCACTGTACAGGAGTCACCAGTACTTGTCACAGGCAGTCTCTTAAGTCTCTTAATCTGAATTTAAAATAGAAGTGCATTTGTAGCACAGCCCTGAACATAACTGATCTGTTCACTGTGAACCTACAAGTGGATACTCAGCATTAAAACTAAATAGTTTCTGTACAACAGTAACCAGAGGAAACCAGTGATTTTTGCAGAAACCACAGTCACTGCCTTAAGAAACTCATAATCCTGCTGTCATTCCTTTTAGAAGTACTGTTTCTGTTAGGCATAAAATAGGAAGCCCAAGACATAACTAGACCTACCAGAGCACAAATCTGTTAGGAGGACTCTTCTTTCCGTTTTATCAAGTCAGATAATTTGTCCATGCCTGATTTCACCACAGGAATGCAGTTTTACAGATCCTGCAGAAAATAACTTGCAGCTCGAGCTCATCCTGCTGCTGCCTGTTGAGGGAGCTGGAGGTGCTCCCTTCCTTACTTCCCTGGGCCAGTTGGAGTTTGTCACTGCCAGATGTGACAAGGTAGAAAGCCAGCTTTGAGGCTGACTTGTTTGGGTTGGGGTTTTTTTTCTAAATTGCCTGGGAAAACAACTCTTTAGTCTTCCTCTGCTACTTCTGCCCCCATGCAAATGGGGAAACTGTCTAAGGATAAAGCTGGCATATACAGTTCACTTCTCCAAGGCTGATTCAGGACTGGAATTGAATTCTTGAAAGATTTTGGTTACATCATTCTGAAACACATCGTTCAGGGCCAGCTCTTTGTAAATCCACTGCTTTTGAAACACAGGATAAATCCTTCATTCCTTAATCTGGGTAGTTTTCAAAAGCTTGTGTGGCAGATGTGAAGCCATTCCCCTTCCTGAGAGGCAGTCAGGAAGAACTGGAGCTGAGCTGTTCTACATGGAAAGCTGCAATAAGCAGGGAATGGCAGTTTCTGCAGTTGCACTCTGACAAGCCTTTAAGCTGCTTGTTGGTGTCTCTTCTTCAGTGAGGGAATAAAAACACAGGATTTGTGATACTAGCCTTCCAGTCTGACCATCCAAAGACCTTACTGGTTTTATACTGAAATAACTTTGCATAGAATTCCTAAAGGGCACCACAAAGCTGCCTCAGTCCACTAAGATAACCAGCAGTAAGGGTCTGGTATTTGCTTGAAGCATGATGCAGCTTTTTAATAAACTCAACCTGTTGCCTAATGTTTAAATCCTTGGGTTAAAGTTGACTGCTGGCTAGCTTGCATAAATTGCCAACTGTGCTAGCAGTGACTTGGCTCCTGCCTGCTGCTCTGCTGGAGATGATTACACCCCTGGGGATAAGTGGTGTTTCACTGCAAGTCTGTGCCTTCCTTTTCATTAGGGTCACACCCTAAAATACTCTCCTCATATTTTTCTAGGCTGTCTTGCATGGCTGCATTATGGTGAAAGGCCATCAGCTGGTTTGCTTGCTCCTGCTGCAGGGAGCCAAACTGCATGCAGGACAAGCTCATTATAGTTTTGGTAGTGAGAAGGCAATGGAGCAATTTGTGCAAAGCTGAGCAGCAACAGGAAAAAGTCCAAGGAGTTTGAAGGGTGAATGTAGAACAGGGATTGTCCTGGCACTGCAGGTTGAGCACTTGTCATGAGTTTGGGGTCTGGGAGGGAGAGTGATCCAAAGGCAGTAACTGTAACTCAGGAGCTGGGTCTGCAGCTGTCTGGCAGGTGAGAACTTAAGAGTTAAGCAAACTAAAAGTCAACTAAAGACGTTAGAAATGAAGGATGAGTCATTTGGAATAAGCAGGGGATGCTGTGTATGGAAAGGAACAGATGCACAAGTTAAAGTGATGAGCATAGAGTGCTCCTCCTCAGCGAGGGGCTGAGGCAGCTCATGTGCTTGGCTTCATCCTGTTGTGCCCATGCTGGCCCCTGAGAGAACAAGGACTACAGAGAGGGCTTTGTTGGGACACATTCCTCAGAGCTGTTTTTGTTGGAGACTTGTAACTAGATCAAAGTGTCAGGAAGCACCGAGGGACTCCAAGCTTTGCAATCTGTCAGGGTAGTGTGGGTGAGGAGGAAAGGGGCTGCAGGCCTCCTCAGGTGGGATATTCAGAGATGCCCAGGAGCAGGAA